ACACTTAAACAGGCTGCTCTTGGAGGATCTATATTCACGGGAAGTGGAAGTAAAAGCAGTCAAATGGGGATATGACCCATTCTATGGTGTCAGTTTAGGAGATAGATCCGTTTACTTGCAGAAAAAAACCTGATGCCAAAGGCCGCTGAGCTGCCGCTTTGCAGCTGAATAACGTGAACCTGGCTGAGGGAACGCGGCAGGAATTTGCCAGGAACTGGTAAGACGGCAGATATGGAGGACATCGGATTGACTTAACAACAGTAGGCCTGGTGGCCCGGTGTAAGCAATTAACCCCAGTGACACTGAACCCCACTGGTGAACGTCTTCAAAGACCAGCGCAGCGATCAGGCGCTGGGAGAAGCCTCGCCGCCCTCGGCCGCGCTAACTGATCTCCTCGTTAAAAGCAGACTTCCTAAAGTGAAGCGAGACATGACTTTTCCAATAGTGTCGTTTCAAATAGGGTCGCGTTGAATTCTTAGGACGGCATAATGACGGATGGGACATAAGGACCTTATTTGCTTTGAGAAATGAGTCCGTGAATACGGTCAGAGCTGCTGTAACTTAAGTGAATATACTAAGAAACAAGCTCCTGTGAGTTGAAGCCATTAAGTCGTCGTCGATACGATTCCCATCCAGGTTGATTCACTCTTTGAGCAGCTACGTACAGAAAGAACTTTAATCAAGAAGCAAGTCCATATCAATTGGGACAAAACGATTACGTTGTTTTGATAAATGACGGTAACTTCTACTGGTGACATTTCCTTTGACTGCTTCACAATATTAATATATTAAATATATTAAAATACTAACAAGCATTTTGTGTTTTCTCGCTGCGACACTACCTAGAAGCAGTGGAAAATATGACTCAGCATTAGCGGTTAACACAGATCTTGTATTTCACAGCTGTAGTGAAGTGAACGTGAGCAAATAAATATCAGACTTGTTTCCTGTTAATCACTGTACGAACCAGGGGCACAAAAGGCCTTTGCTTGATGCAGAATGTAGAAATACGTTGAATGAAAGGTGGTGAAATAAAAAAGAAGATCATGAATTGTTAAAAATATGGGGCGTAATGCATTTAAGAAGAAGTGCTGACAAGTTTCTAGAATGACAGAAACACTAGTTTCTAGTGAAACTAGTGTTTCTGTCATAACTAGTGTTTCTGTCATTCTAGAAACTTGTCAGCACTTCTTCTTAAATGCATTACGCCTCATCTCTGCTCTCAGAGATCGTCTGACTGAGAATGACCAGAAGAAACAGACGCCCGGACCTTCAGCTTTCTGCACCCTAATGAGCATTAATGTGAGGTGCTGTTTACAAAGGCTTAGTGAGACCCATCGTGCCCACGCCAATGGTCAACAAAACATTCTACAGTCACATATGATGATATGCATGTATTATGTACGTAATATGGATCCCATATTACGAGAATGATAACTAGCCAACGTGGCTGTAAATGTTAATGTTAAATGTTTCATGACCCCGCTTCACTGGGTTCCTCGATTTTGTTTGTCAATTTCCAGGTGCCTCTCGAACGTTTTGCCGACAAAAAACCACAACAATACTTTAAATCTGCTGGGAAAAAAGTCTTGCGTTAGAGCGTTCTTGGAAAACACTTAGCGGCACTAAAAGTCAGACTGCGTGCGTCACTAACAACGACTCGCTGGGCGTGTTCATACACGCGGCCATCAAGGACCAGGGGAAGCAGTGTGGGCAGCTCAGGCTGAGAGACATCAGACATTAGGGGGGGGGGGGGGGTCCACGCAAAAACAAGACATTAATAGAACGTATGTGCAGCCTATGGTTGTGTATTTAAATAGGCGGAAAAGAGACGAGGGCGGATCACTGGCCTCCTGTTTGTGGGGGGAAACCGACACAATCGGCAAGTACACAAGTGACGGAGGCGGATGCGGGCGAGCTCCTGCACATTACTAAAAAGGATTTAACGATATCTTCCACAAACCAAGCAAATCACCCGGCGGAGGAGGAGGAGTGTCTTGCGAAATACAAACGCCGGTATTGTTCCACAGGATATGCAAAGTCGGAGCGCAGATAACGCGGCCGCTGATTGCCTGTTCTGATACAACGCAGAACAACTTTTCCGGATTGCAATCAGCTTTGCGCGCGTCAATGTATTCCGGCAGTTCCTGGCAAAGGGATTAATAGGTTTTTGCATAGTGTTACAGAGATTCATCTTCCCTCCGGCACCTGTTCCACCTGCACGCCATCCCAGCGTGTAAGACCAGAGGGGGGGGTAGACAGGCGCCTTGTATACGATGAAAATATACCGTGTGAAATGACTCGTTAACGTTTCACCCATTGGAGAAAACTAACCTGTTATAGAGTGAAATATGAAGTTATTATGCAAATTACCCTTTTCTCAACAATACATACTGAATTGGTCACTGAACTATACACATTTTAAGAAAGATTTAATACATATAGTTTGAATTTAAAGGGCGACTCCACCAATCGTCGTGTGGTTGGAGGATGGAAGAGGGGTTAAGATAAAACGATGTAAAAGGTGGAGAAGGGAATGAAAAGATTCCCAGAGTCTTGTTTCCGAAGGAGATTCCTAGACTGACTGACTTGGAGTTTCCCTCCTCCTCTCTGGGATGTGACATTTCTCTACAGAGACCCAACGCTCACGTTCACTCCCTAATCGTACGGAGGCTCATGACCCTGAGGATGGGAATAAAAGAAGAAGAAATTACTTTCATTAAGGAATTCAGATTTCCCCCATCCTTTTGATCTTGCGCCAGAAGAACATTTATGCTGATGAAATGCATAAATAAAGTTCTTAAATTATCTCGCTGCTCTTTACCGCGTGTATCAGGAGTTGGAGAAGTTCCAGAGGAGACAACTACAATCTCGGTGAGTGCCTCTGAAAAGTGGATGATTTAGGAGACGGCCCACTGGTTTTACTTTACTGGTAAAGTGCCTATTGAGCCCTTTCCTGCAAGTGATGTGGAGGCAAATATGGATGTGTCAGAGTGTTTGGATCTACTTGTTATGGAAGCTCAGAGTCCAGTTCTCTCAATGCCACGAATTCTTCTTCCCCCGCCAAAACTCGGTGGCTTCATTGCTCGCAATGCAACTTCGTCATGAAGGTAATTTCACGCTGAAGGCCGAATGTTGCGGCGGCGCGTCGCTGTGATACGGGCCCGGGGGGAGAGAGGACGGACCCGGCAGTTGGACATTGATCAGACGACCTGCTGAGGAGTGACAGTGACGCAGAGGTCTGCCACACGTCCAGCCACATTATCAAAATGTTCCAACGAGCAAAGCGAAAATAGATGCCAGGCGCCTCATGCAGCCTGGTACGTTTATACGGAGCTCCACCAAACAAAGACCTCTAAAAAGAGATTAACGTGAACACAGCTGTTCTGGCAGTTGCTTGTCATCCCCTGCTTATGGCTGATGAGATACTATATTGCACTTAATGTGACAGTCTTTATAAAGCGCTATTCGACACCTGTAAACGGAAAGAAAAAATATAAACCACAGGATAACAGGCTGATGTCTTTATCCATGTTCAGCCTCATTCCAGTTTTAAAACAAACTGAATCCAATATTATACATTGCGTAATTTTTTCCAGTAAAAAGCATTACACAAAATGTTCTATTGTACTACTTCCCGTCTGAGCTTCCAGGGATGACCTTCAAACTTTCCTGCATCTTGCTGACAATAAGAACTGCAACACCGTCATATCCAGGCATCGACAAAATAAACATCTAATGGGGGGAAACAACTTCTGCAAAACTATGTCCTTGTGGTTTTGCAGAATGTCTTTCCTGACATGTTGTGCAAGGAAATACTTTCATGTGTGTTGCTTAACCAATAGACAGCACAACGCGCCGCAGTCTAGCTAAACGGCATTAAAAACTACAACAATAAACAAAAACTCATTTATTCAAGTCAACTTCTCACCAGAATACAAAGTTAAAATGAGGAAATAAAGGAGGCAGAATCTCCTGCGTCACGTAATCCATAAAGAGAATTAATACCATGTTAGACTCTAACATGATTTTAACACCCAGTTAATAGCATTCAAACCATATCTGACAGCTTATCAGCTGCAACTCCTGATAGTTATGCATCAGCTCACTCAATGATGCTCGTGTGAAAACAATATAATTATCATCTAATTCACCAAAGAAGATATATCTGAAAATCCTCAATTATAAAACAACAATGACTGCTTCTCTGATATTATTGTTCCGGGGAACAAAGGAATAATCTCTCAGGTTGTCCTGGGCCCGAAAGAAGTGACGTAGTGGGTAAATACGACAACTCTAAAGCCATTTGAATTCCCCTCTTAGCTGCTCTCACCATTATCACCATTATCATCACCATTGATCCCATGTGGGCAACTCAAGATTCACACACATTCAGTCAATATATGGTATAAGTGTGTATTTGTACATTGAGCATGCACTCTGAGTCATGTTCACGTAAATATCCACTTCATTCCCTGCAGTGAAATGGGTGTTAACTATAAAACTATCTGCATTTAGAAGTTGTTGGCATTAAGCCGAGGCTCTGCAGTCTGGCCTTGGGGCTCGGCGGTCTTGACTTGTGACTAAACTTGTGACTTGCCTGAATCAACTCGGGACTGTGGACTTGGGGGCAAAGACAGAGGACTTACTGGTGACTGGCCAAACGGAAAACCCCTCCGTTTGATATCGAACACCACTCACTGAAAGACATTTCCATCTTCTCATGACCACGCACATCCACCGCAGCGTGCGTAACTCCGAGGAATCACTTTCAGGGGAAGACGAACTACAGTTTCACTGGGTGACCGAAAACAAAAATTAAGCGAAAGAAACATAAAAAAGGGGAAATGAAGCTGTGAGAGGTGAGCGGTGGAAGCACACCGGGCTCTGATGAAATGAGAGGAGTAAAAACATCCATTAATATTCCCGGCACAGTGACCCGTGACCCCACCCGCCAACAACCAGGCGGCGTGACTCAGAGTAACAAGGAGACGACTTACGATGTAGCAGGGCTCACAGAAGGCCTTCTTCTCCACGGCGTAGAAAGGCTTGCCGCGCAGCTTGCTGCTGCAGGTCATGCAGACGAAGCAGTCCACGTGGAAGACCTGGTCCATGGCGGTGCAGCCGGTGCCTTCACCCACCACGTTCTCTCCGCAGCTGGCGCAGCGCCCTGGGGAGAGGGAACGCCATCGAGATCAAACGAATGATCCACTCGTGTTTCCGTGCACGGATGCTCGGATCACATTTACTGCATATTTCTCCATGATATGTCAAAATAATTCTTCAGATCCCAAAGGTGTTGTCCTAAAGACGTCATGAATAGTTCCATGATCCAATGAGAACCGTATGACAATGTTTGGGGACTCATTGACTCGTCAGTGACAACAAGGTAACAACGGTAAACCGCTAAGAGGCATCAACTAAGACTCTGGAGAAACATCCAATCACGCAGCTTAAAACGTTTTGACAAAATGAATCCAGTTGTGAATGTTCAGCAGCTCTAATTGGCTCCTATAGCTGAGGCACATGGGTAATGTAGTATTACGGGCCATCCTTCATGCCAAAAGAATACATCTGAAATTAATAAAACCATCACATAAACCTGGAGATTAAAAAGTGAAATGATAAACATCTTAAGTTCTGGAAGCCGCTCAAATGGCTCGTTTCCTCTGATCAACAGTTAAACAGGTAAGTGAAGAGACATCAAATCCTCACGTTTAAGAGGATGAAAATAGTTCACGTTGGGCATTTCATGAGAGAATTAGGGCCTAATTGCGTGTCAACGTAGTTGCTGATTAATCATTTATGGCGGAACAAGAACCAGCTACCTGCATCGGCTCCTTCCCGTCTCGCTGAGGATGCGTAAGCTGCGCGTGCATCCGCTCACACCACCTGGCTGCCAAACCGAGCAGCCGTCCCTTTAAACCATGTCAGAAGTGCCTAATCTTCATTTCTATTTCAAACGCCGGATAAGGAAGGATTAAATACTATAATTATGCCACATTAAAGAAACCAAACTCATCGCAAAGTGTGACATGGGCGACATCTATTTCAACAAAATCCAGCCTTGAAGTGATTAAAAAGAAAACTTTAGAAGTACAACGAAGTCTTTGTAAAAAAAAAAAAAAAAAAGAAGTGATATTATTGCTCCAGAAAGGGACTGATTGCATATTGCGGGACATGGCATTTGGATATCTTTAATTGAGTCAGAGATATCTTTAATTGAGTTTAAGATGTCCTCGACTCAATGCAAGTTATCTTCAACCCAATTAATAACACTGTCAATTTAATTACTGGTATCTCACAATAACAGGGTTTAAAAAGATATCTGAGAATGTTTTATTTTTTAACACATCTGAGGACAGATGCAATCTCTCAGAGGAAGCACGATACACTGTATTTAATTAATTCAAGTTCACTTGTATGGGATGTTTTTTTGGGGGGGCTGAGTCGGAGAGATGATTGACACCGTGTATGTTCTGAGCGCGGCGGTTCAAGCGTGTCGCAGACACTAACCTTGGGAGATAAGAGTATCTGATGCTCGCATCTTGCGCAGTTCCAACTCGCACTTCTTCATAATCGAGAAACTCAAACGGAAATCTGTCTCAGGTATCTGAGCGACTTCTGGAAGTGGTGTGTTGTTGAGATCAAATATCGGCTCGCTGGTGGTGTTTATAATCTTAGATAAGTCGTTATCCCCCTTTTCCCGCCTCGCAGCAGAGAAGTTGCTGGTTGAAACTTTTCCAGCAAGGATTCGGGAGGAACCCTCGTCGAGGGCGCTTGGCTCCGCGCCGCTCGCTGACTGGAGACACGCGTTGGGGAGGCCGACGGCTGCCGGATTGCCGCTCAAGACGTTTGGCGGTTAACATTTGGAACTCTGGTCCCAGCAGCGCTTTTTAGTGCGTCGATTCGCCGACGCGTCTCCTGCAACGAACAGCGCAGACGGCTTTTCTTTCTCCGATTTCTCCATTCGAACCCGGCTATTGGTTATTCGTCTGCTCCCACGGCTCTATCCACACCTCAATCACGGCTGCGTTACCTACTGTACAGGGAGGCAGATTAAGCAGACTGGTGAAGGCGCGTCCCGGGGGGACATGTGGGTGTCAGCGGAATCACAAGCAGGGTAATCACTTCACACAGCCAGCGGGGGAGAGAGGGAGAGACGCCGAGCCGGTTAGTGGCTCCAGATCACAGGCCATCTTCAGCGAGTGGATGGGAACGCCAAACATGTCCCACGGGGGAGGAGGGGGGGGCACTTTAAACAGACGGGAAGGAAACCTCTCGGAAATCCCTTTCCTTTTGGCAGTCTGTGATCGCGAGGGCCCCCAGGAGATATTTGTGCGTACACACACACACACACACACACACACACACAATGGAAGAGGGAGAAAAAAGCGTCTTTGCAGCTGACATGCCACACATGTGACGAGTATGTACCAACACGGACACGAACAACACGCATCAGCAGCCCACACGCGAGCTCACACGGAACCTGCAGGCGGTTTTGTATTCCTACACACTGCTGAAGGCCGGCTAACTCATAGTGCGAGTCTACAGGGGGTTTCTGGGATGAATTGATTCCGCTGCGTCCCATCGTGCCGAGAGCTTGTCCCCAGGAGACGGGGAGCTCCGAGGGGGACGCGGAGGACGCAAGTCAAGCTGTGATTGGCCAAAGCTCAAACTGTTGGACAGCCTGTGGAATGTTTGAGGACTCATAATGAGAAGAAAGCAATGGAGTATAGAGTGTCTCTTTGTAGTGGTTGTTATCGCTGCATGTGTATCCACCCTTTTCTGGATTGATCAATCAGCTCCGTCCAATTTTCCATTGATTGATTCACTGCTTAGTCTGTGAAATGTTAGTAAATGTTGTTGACAAACGTGTATGAAATAAAGGTAATTAAAGGTGATGTGGGACTAAACGTCAGTCCAAAACACAAATATTGTATCTTCAGTCTAGGATGACTTTTTGGCTTCACGATGGACTAATGGACTGACGGTTAATCGGTCGTCCAAACTGTCGTCAACTGGTGTTGCTGTGAACGAAGAGCATCATTCGAGAAAAATCATTTCAAACGCGGGAAGACGAAAAGTTGCCGCGCGTGAACAGAGATTCCTCGTGTGCCATCAACACATTCGCCAGTGTTCTGCCTCTCGACAACACAGAGTCGCAAAGTGTAAAACGTAAAGCTTCTCCTTTGTTTCGTCTGCGCGATAACAGGCGCCGGTGTTTTACGATGCCGCGCATCAATTATTTCACGCGGCTGCGTCGCGAGTGAGCATTTTCAATTTCGCGGCGCTACTTCAATTGACTTCTTGAATAATAAAAGACGGCAATTGAAGCAGCATTGCGTCGCCGCCATCGCCCCCCCCGCAGAGATGATCGCAGATACTTTCGAACTATTTCAGCTGGGCATAAAGGAATCATGAAAGGCCTCACCGCTCCCCAGCGTCCCTTCGCGAGGGAGCCGGAGTCTGAATATCCAAACTTCAAATAGTTCCTGTAGAACCAATGCAATGGTGACGGGAGGGGGGGGGTTCATTTACACTTTACTCACTTTCTTTCCTTTGCATTCCACAACTCTCAGAAGTGTCTCTTCTCTGTAACATCGAAAGTCAAAAGGACTGAAGAGAAAATCTTTTTCTTCTTTTCTCTCCTTTTTTTATTTTTTTTAAAGAAGCCCGTTCCCTGTGAGCTGCGGCGGCTTCGAATGGTTAGACAATTTAATTGGATAAAAGGAAAAGATTAAAGAGGCCCTGACTCTGTTCCATAAATAATTGATTTCTAATGTATTTGTAGTGGCAGTGAGACGCTGTTGTTTGGGAACGGGGGGATGTTGAGTGGCAGAACGCTTCAGATTTCTCCTCAGTCTTTGCCTTCTTTGTTTTCTCACGCCGGGATATTGAGGCGGCATGAAAGGCAAGAGAGGGAGCACACTTGCAGCTCAATTTGATCTTACATCGTCAGAAATCAAAGATCGTGCATGTAAAGGAGGATGGCAAGGAACTTTTTTTTTTTTTTTCCTAACTGGGAGACCAAACTTTTTGTCACTATGTTACTAAAGAATACAACTCAGCTGGTGCAAGCCTTGCAAAGCCCAAAGGCAAAGCCGGCACACTGCAGCTCCGTATCCAAGACTAATACAAAAAACACAAAATCCATTTTGGGACTTCAGCAAGTTTTTTTTTTTGCCCTTGGATTTGAATATCTGATAGTAAAGAAAAACAAAGACACAGTCAACTACGCCACGTTGCATTTCAATAACAACACAGCCAAAAGCCTGTATGAGGACTACTGAAATAGAGACGGGGGGACCACCAACCCCATTCGGCTTCCTCAATTATTGCGTTTACTTATTGTGACACCCGGAAACAGGTGGGCAAACAAAGGTACGAAGCTGTGATAACCCTTCATTAAAGACGTAAACTATTGTCAGATGCTTAACAGCGGAAAATAATTCTGTTAGGAGTGAAACCGCCGGCGACTGCGTTCCGCTTCATCTCCGCCCCTCAAGGTTTATCCACTTTGTTGCTTCCGACTGCCCCGGCGCGCAGCCCCGACAACGCTGTGGCCTTCAGTCGCCTTTGGTATGACGAGAGAAGTAGCTGTCATCGCTGTATTTCAATCCCCCCCTCGCCTTTCGTCTCATTCCCAATGTCAGCAAACAGCCATGTGCAGAGCGGCTGCGGCGACGGTGGTGGAGGAGGAGGAGGAGGAGGACGGAGGAGGACGGAGGAGAGGCGAGCCTGTGCCACTAAGCATTACGGCTCAGCCTGTCAGGGCCCGCGGCCGGGGGGGCGAGGAGAGGGGGGGGGGCGCAGAGTGTAGGTTACATGTTTTAGAAGCAGGTTGGCAGGAGCGACGTGGAGGGGTGCCGGGGAGCCAAAAGGGGTGGGGTTGTCGGCAATGTGGGTGAGAGAGAGAGAGAGAGACGCGTGGGGGGGGGGAGGATGCATGAAACAGGTGAGAGTACGTGTGTGCAGCACAACGTGTGGGCGGCTTCAAAGACGTGTGCGTGTCTGTGTGCGCTGTTTACCCGCCTGCGCTGGCGTGCGCCGAGCCGCGTGTCTGCTCGCTCCCGAGGTCAAACGCTCACGCACAAATGAAATCTAGCAACGTGAGCGGCCGGGAGCCTCAGCTGGGCTCGCACGGCAGCTGATCCTGCAAGCCTC